GAAGCAGCTGCAGGACAGATGTTAAAAAAACGTGAAGGAATGTTTGATCAGCTGAAATATGACAAGAAAACACCAATACCTGCAGCAGCGCTCGTCCGCTTTTACTTTGAAAATCTTTTTTGTTGAATCGCCGCCTTGTACAAACAGAAATATATATTTGAAACAGAAAGAAAAAGAAAAATCTTCTACGAGCAGTTTGAGGTTTTTTTCTTCAAGTAAATACTGTCGATGCATTTTACACACACACACACACACACACACACACACGCATGTCTCACCAGCATCTGCTCTCAACACTGAACCCTGTCGTCCATTTTGAAAAATGCTTCTTTTTTTCCTTGTTTTATTTTGAAAGGACCATTCCAGCGTTGACGGAGTTCCCCTCTTTGTTTGAGAATGACCTTGTCTGATCCGATGATGTCGCCTCTCTTCTCTCGCTCACATCAACACTCGTGGTTCAGTTGTTTGTTTCTATTCGTCTCACGTCTACAGGAAGTAGAATCCTAAACGTTCAACGAACACAAACTCTGACGCTGGAATCCTTTAAACTCCGATCAGACGTCAGACCTCGAGTCTCGACTTGTTGCTCAGCAGACGTTTACGCGTATCACGACATCTTAGGTATTAAATAATGATAATAATAATAATTACAGAGAAAAAACGTGAACATTTGCTGAGATTAACGTCACATTTATAGAATAAATAAATGAAAATATATCTAATCGGATTCATTTGACTTTGTGGAAACGAACCGCCGAGTCTAAAACACGTCACTTATAATATAACGGTATTTATTAGTTTTCATAAAGGAACACAGGAAACGTGTATTTGTATCTTTGAGATACTTTTCTATTTTAGGAAGAAACTAAACTCAGACGGACGTTACCACCGTTTCTATTTATACTCTGTTTATTCAAGGTTTTTATCGTAAATGTACGACCATAAGCCCCCCCCCCCCCCCAACCCCTTATTTATTTTATACCTTCATGGCCTGAAAGCGCCGTCATTGATATTTGACCTTTATCAGGTGTAAACGGATCTGGTTCCTCTGGATCTGGTTCCGTTTACACCTGACGAGCAGTAGAAGTGTTTCTGACTCGTCGTCCTTTGAAGCCGATCTGTGACGTCTGTTTCTACGTTTTTAATTCAAACAGAATCCGTCCGATCGACCTCAGCTGGTTTAAATCGTCTGTTAAAGGGGAACACTGTTTTCAGTTTGTTTTTCTCTCCTGAATGCACTTTGTTCGTCTTCGTGTTTCGACTGCTTTGTGCCTTGTCGCCATGGAGACCAAATCTTTTGATTGTTTTCGTGACTAAAAACAGAATTTGCAGCGATTCCGATGTAACGGTCTTTGTTTTGTTACTTTGCAGGAAACTTCTGTAAGTCAAAAACAAAGGTGTGACATGTCCATCATCACATAATTAAGGTCACAATGTCACTCATGTCTTAAAGATTTTCCTCGAGTAAATAAAATAAATGTACGTTAAATATTAAGAGACGAGTGTCTAAATAATTTTGTGAAAATCTTAAAAACAAAAGTCATAAATAATAACGTTAATCAATCGACTGACTTTAAAGCAGTTTTACGATCGAGTTGATCGAAGCGGATTCCTGTCTTTTTGTCCGAAACGTTGAACTTTATTCTTGTTTTTCATTTGTAATTTCATGAAGAACATTTTTCGTATAATTACAACTTTGTTAACATCGCTGCTTTTCCCCCCAAAAATTGTCACTTTTTATATATATAATTGTCGTCTTTTGTCTTTATGTGACCATAATATTGATACTTTGCTCTCATAGAATTCACCTTTAAAAACGATAACATTTAAATCTATTTATTATAAATGACATTGGCTCGAATCAAAGAGACAAAGTGTTCAGTATAAACAACTTTATTTCCATAATTTCGTGACTTAAAGGTTCAACATCTGAGATCGGAGCGTTTTGATTCGCAGCTCGTCAATGGTGAACCGACGGCTATAGGCTAACAGCGCTAGCAATGACAGCAGTGCTAACAGCGCAAACATCAGTTAACAGAGCTGACGGTGTTTACCTGAGGGGGAACTGCTACATGCTACGTTTCCATGATGCTAACATGCACTAACATGGCCGCCCACATTTTAAATACTGCTCCTTTAATTCCTCAAATATTTCAAAATTTTTCTTATATATAAAATTAATTTGACACGTTTTCTCTGTAAAATTCTGACTTCATTCTCACAAAATAATGACTTTGGTCTCCCTTAAATGTTGCAAAAATATTCTCAATATTTGTCCTTTTTTGTGAGAATATATTCTGACTTTTTTGGTACAATTAATATTTTTCTCTCAAATCATTCTGACTTATAATACTAATATTATAACGTGATACTATTCTGAGAAGAACCGCCTGCAATGACGAAAAGTATCGAAGAAACTTTTTTAAAAATGGGCCAAATTTATACAAGTGCCATGAAAACGTCTCAGCCAATAAAACCAGTAAAGAGAGTAAACAAACAGCAACAGTGCTTCTCTTCAGATCCTCCTCCTCTCCATCGTCCATCTTTTCTTTTTTCTTTTCCTCGTTCAAACTCAGACATGATGTGAAGGACTTCCATGCTCCTCTTCTGTGTTCGTTATCAAAAACAAACCGATGGAAGTAGTTCACATCTCTTAACGAGTCATTTTTCCCAAAACAAACAAACCTTCACAGAACATTTCAGCACTTTGATCGGACGAAGCAAACCCGCGGACCTGCACACGTTATGATTTCAGGAAGCAAAGGACGACGTCGATTTTTTTTTTACACGCTTTGGCCATTTTTCAAAAATAGTTTGTGTTTTTGAGGCTCCACACAAACTATTATTTATTTTATTTATTTTTTAAATGCCAGAATTCCCTCCTCCTCCTCCTCCTCCTTCAGTCAGTCGTTAAAGCTGCGACCCGGAAGAGGAGAAGAAGAAACTCGGAGCACGTTTCTTTAAGTTAACTTTTGTTTCCACGCAGTGCTGTGAGTCGTACGAGCTGTGATTCTGTCCCGATCTTCTCGTGCATACGTGGGGTAACTTTTTGCTAAGTGTGAAAATATTTTGCCAAGTGCCACGCCCCGGCCTGTTGCGATGCTTTACCATAATGTCTATAAAAAACAGGAAGTGATTTTTGCTGGCGGGATGAAAAAAACACCAGAAAAGATAGAATTCTGATTATTATTATATTGGTGGCTGTTATTATTACTACTTCTACTGTATCATCATCGCGACCATGATTATTCTCATAATCATTTAAGAGTCTATTGTTCAGCCATGTATTTTTTATTTTGAGATTGTTTTCTTTTTATTATTAAAGGTAAAATGAACTAACAGATCTCGCTGTTGTGTTTTTGTTTGAGCATTTAATTATTGAATGTTTTAGTTCAAGTCATCCAAGAAATGAAACGCGTCAGAAGTGCTGCTGAGATAACGTCGCGATGAGAACGCTCCAACATGCTGCAGCAACGCCTTCAATTACAAAAGTACACCAATTATATTTTAACAATTATTGTTTTCACATTTAACTGGATGGATTATAAATAATACATAGAAATACATGTTCTTAAGTACAATAATGTCTGGATTAAAGAATAACTGACATAAAGCTTTTTAATGTGCATCTTTAAAATAAAGTAATTCATTTTAGAAACATTAAATTCACTTCATTCAGGTGTGGAGTGATGTCAATAAAAAAGCCACAATATTATATTTCTCATCTTCTAACCAGATAAATCGGTGTTCATGGACTTCATGTAGTTAACACTTGTTTCAGCTCTATTCTCTGTTGTCATTGAACAGTGAACTAACGCGTTATGATTCTGTCATTTTGTGCTCTGAGGTTTATTTTCTGTGTCTTCATTCAGATGTGAGAGGGTACGTTCGCTCCATATGAGACACTGCTTTTAAACTGTCCGTGGGAAGAAGTCCCCGGTACGAGTTTGTCCATTCTTGGTTAAAGACTCTCGTCTCTCTCAACACTTTTCTCTGGAGATCGTCTTGTGGAATTACTTCTCTAACTCATAATAATGTTCCTGCTGTCTCCCCGTGTGTCACAGTGTGTGTAAATCTCACTCGAGTCAGGAAACTTGTCAGAATACTCGTATCTGATTGGCTGAGCTGCATCACGTGATGTGATTCACACGCACTGGTCGGTGTGTTTCCTGCACCGCTGAACAAGTGCCGTAACGGCTGGAAAAGCTGCGCCGGTTAAAATAGAATAATTCTTAATTATCTATCAGTTTTAGGTCCTGGGTCCAGATCCGGACCACGGTCTGCCTATTGGTGACCCCTGTGCTATAATATGACTTTTAAGGCAGTTTGGGTAAAAACAGAGGCAGAGTTGATTTTAACGCAGTTTATTGTAAATCGCTGGAACATCAGATTTTCAGTTTGAATCCACAACCAGCGTCAGCAGTCTGCTGCGGTTCAACACATGTCCTAGAAAACTAAAGTAACAGTTCTTCATGAGCTGGATCAGGTTCTGGTGTCGACAGTAATCGGGGTCAAAATGTTTTCATTTCTCAGGATTATTAAAAAGGTGATTTATGTTTTTAGTTTTTGTAAAAAGAGCCGTCGTGAGTCGCGCTGTCATAAAGCGTCGTAGTCGTCGTCGTCCTCGTGTTTCCTCTTCAGCGAGTCGCTGGAGTTCTGCGTCACCATGTTGGTGGTGATGAGGATGTTCTTGGAGCCAATCAGAGACGGGTTGATGAGGACGTTGGAGACGGCGGGCGTGGACGGCGTCGCTGTCGGAGGGAGAAGAGCAGCGAAGGGTTAAACTCTGTTTTATTCTAACGTGGTTATCTGACGTTAACGGGATGGTTTCATACGCTGCTCCTCTTGAACGGCGTTGAGAGCAGAGCACCCGAAGAATAAAAGCACGACCGTGCAAACACTCGAAGAAGAGACAGAGGGATTGAAAGGTCCCGATTGTTGTTGTTGTTGTTATTATTATTATAGTAGTAACCCTTTAGGCCGATTCTACGATGGACTTTAACTTGTAGTTTTGTGTTTTCTTGTTTATTGAACAACAATTTTGTCCAAAACACTTTTGATTCTGAATGTTCAATAAAGACGTAAACATGTGAGTGACAGGAGGAGAGGCTCTTACTGGTTTTGCTGGCGGCCGTCTGAGAGGGCGGTGGGATCTGAACCGTGAACCTCTGACCCGTCAGAGACACCGGAGGTCCCACCTTAGTGCTGACGGAGTGGACCGACGGGGCTCCTGTGGAGAGAACGCGGGTCAGAACACACTGGTCCTACTGGGACCTGGTCTCACAGAGAAGAACCCATCTAAAGAGAATATATCCGTTTAAATCTGGTTGGTTATGATGTTCAAGGAGACCTGCCTACATTTCCCAGAATGCATTGGGTGAAACACCTGTATTGAGTGTTCAGATGTTGGTTTGATTGCAGAATAAACCCAAAAAAGTGTGGAAGAGTTTCAGTTTACGTCCTGAGAACATTTAAAGAAATCAGTTCCAGACTCACTTTACAGTAAAAACATGTTCATGTATTCATGTGTTCATGTGTTCATGACAACATCAGATCATCTCCTGTAATCTGACGTCTCTCAGAGATCTCTGGCTAAACATTTTAAATACTAAATGGTGTTTTATATATAAATAATATATATATATATTATATTTTCCCACAGTTCCTTCTGGTAGCAGTGTTGACGGTTCAACATGTGAATGCGAGCGCGTAGCTGCATTGCATTCTGGGTAACCCTCTAGCCTTCACTCACCGAGGGTGGGCGTGCCCGGTCTGCTGGACACGGTGCCGACGCTGAGCCGAGGAACCGATATCCTGCCGACCGACGTCACCTGAGAGGAAGCAGACGATAGGGGAGTTGTGTTGTGGAGGAGAAGAAGAACATCACTCAAAGTAAGCGTGTGTCGGTACCTTCTTCTGGACGGTCTTCAGTCTGTAGTTGGGTGCAGTCAGACAGTAGCGGTCCGGAGGGAGTCGGGGTCCGGTGTAGGGTTTGATCAGAGGGAGGGGGGTTAGGTTCTTCTGCCTAGCAACCTCCAACAGGAACTGGACACATGACAGAACACATATAAACATCATAAACACACCGCACATTCGTCAGCAGCTCCTCCCCTGAAACCTGTTTGATGAGAGTACTGATGAGAGTACTGATGAGAGTACTGATGAGAGTACTGATGAGAGTACTAGTATCTATAACTAGCGGTGCTCCTCACAGGTTCATAACTGCTCACAGCATGTTGTGACTCACTGATTGGTTGAATCTATAAAACAGTTTCTCACAAAAGCTTTAAAAGACAAAAAACAAATAATGAACAACAGAAAACTTGTTCAACTGACTAAAACGTTCGATGAGTCAACGATCAATACGTCACAGAAGCATTGTGTTCACACCTGTGACTCTACAGTCAGAGGCTCCATCTAGTGGTGGAACCAGATACTACACAGCATCTACACAGCAGGGAGTCGACCCTCGTCTTCTGCAGCAAAACATTTACAATCAGTTCAACAACAGAGCCCGCCGGCAGCATGGACCAGCATGGACCAGCATGGACCAGCATCGACCAGCATGGACCAGGATGTTGGAGAGGAGAGGAGAGGAGACAAAGCGCTGTGGGAGCTGTTGGTGTTTAAAGGGTTAACCTGAGCAGGTGGAGCTTACGTCTCGTGGCGGCGGCGAGGTGAACGACTGGTCCATGCGACACTGGATCGCCAGCTTGATGTCGTCGGCGTCCACGCTGGACTTCTTGGCGTGCGTGGCGTAGATCTTGGCGTCCTCGATGATGGACGTCACGTATCCTGTGAACAGAAACAGAAGAACCTGAACGACTGGCTGTCATGTTGTGTACTAGTTGTATTATTAAAGGTATTGTTAGAACTGTAATAGTATTATTAAGTACTAACATGTGAGTACAATAAAGTTTCATTTAGTCTGAAACCAGCAGAGACTTGGTTTGAGATCAGATGAGATAAAAAGTGTATTTATATCCGCGAGTCTGACGGTTTTTTCCCGCATGGACCGCCTGATGCTTTGCAAATAGTCCGATGCTTCCTGTATCCGCTGTGTGGCGCTACAGAACACGTGCAAACATGCATCATGATGGTCTGTATCAAGTGTAAACAACATTGTGTAAAAGTCATGTACCCTTTCACCAGCAGGTGGCGCTGTGAGTACTAGTGAAGATGAGCTTGTAGACATCCTCAGGCCATGAGTGTCATCAAGCACGAGAAGTCTGGGAGCGTTTGGAACAAGTCCAGCTGAGTTACATCAGCTTGTTTGATGGGGAATCACGTAAAGCTACGCTACGGCTAAACGATTCCGTCAAACGTAAAGCTTTTGATAACTTTTAATCACAACGGTGATGTCATTGTATTGACAAAATTTAAAGTGGATCTGATGAAGTCTCTAGGAGGAGTTCACTAAAGAATAAAACCCTTTACAGCTTCATCAGGGCCTTCTCTGCCCACGCCGTCGGCTCCTCGTGAATAAACCACAAGAGACTAACTGACTTCTGTGTTTTTAACCTTCATATAATTAAATATTATGTAAATATAAGTGCTTCTGTGTTATTGGTTTCAAATTTGCTGGAGTTTGAGAATTAACATGAATAATATTTTTATCAGAAAGTCTCAACGTGAACTTAAAACATCAAACATCAGCTGATGACTCACTGTAGGTGAACTCCAACATCTGGTTGATGACTCGGGGCTCGTACTCGGTGATCCCCATGTCCTTCAGGATCTGGATCATCACCTGAGACAGTGAGGGTCCATCAGAGGACAACGCAGTCATGTGAAGAACATGTGGTACGTATATCTGATGCTACTGCTTCATATCCTGTTTCCTTTATTCTACATTAATACTTCAGATTCTAGAAGATCATGTTTGTAGCGCTGCCGTCCGGTGAGAACCTCGTATCTCTAAAAATATAACATATCAATATACATAAATCAACATGTACAGTATAAAGTACAACATGTACCTCTGAGGTGTAGTACAGTATA